CAGTCTGACAAGACTACTTAGATCAAGTTGTATCAATTGTACAGCATCATTAAAAGTAGGTGGATGAGGATTCGGAAATAGTGGACCTTGGTCATCAGCTATAAAACAATTTTAGATGTTAAATCATAGAAACAATTGCGATAAATTATGCTTGGTAGACTCACATCGAATCAACTCTTGTCCAAGCCCTAAAGGAACATTGCTTTTTCGCCACACATTTTGTCTTTCATAATAATCATCGCTTCCATTTCGTATTTGATCATATAAAAATAAGTCTAACGAAATAGCATTTGAATAAAGATGCATGCACTCTTGCAACTCGATAGTTTGATCATTTAACCATAATAACAAAAGTTGAAATCCTTGTATTCGAACACGCGGATGATTTCCGTGATCAAGTAGATGGGATAACATTTCAGCTTTTTTTTTGGTTTTTTAAATGATAATAGTAATAATAAGAAAAATTAATAACATAATATTTAAATCTGCTAGCCACCTAGTAAACTCGAAATCGGTTATATCGATAATACCTATTTGTCTCCGCTGCCACCCTACTCTAATTTTGTCTGGTAAGAACAAAAATATTTTGCGTAATAACAACAAAGTCTTATTTATATTTAAAAATTCTTTTGACGAAAATGTCATGGGTCTATCAGGTTTTTCTGCCAAACAAACAATTATATATATACAATAAATTTGTTAGATACATTTATACTCTCTTAGATTAAGGTTGGCTTTATCTGTTTTAAATTCTCACGTTTTATTTTTTCAACTTGTCCCATAAATGACTTATGAACTACATCGAACACATCTTCGGCATGCTCTTGAAAGAATTGAGCTTGATCCAATACATTCGTAACATCTTCAAGCCCGCAAAATAAACAATCAATTAATTGAAATGTCATTTCAGAAATAACATAACACTACTCTTGCAAATGTAAGCCAAGTACACCACATTCCATGAGAATAGCTCACCAATAAAACTCCAAAGTGATGCAATTCTTGCTTTTGATTTTTGTCTTTGATCTAGGAATATCTTTGCCTTTTTTAATAATTTCTCCATTCTATCATCCTTTAGTATGCCTTTGTTCTCCCTATTCATATTGAATGTAAATTATTTTGCGTGAAGATATTGATGATGTCGACTTTGAAGAATTTCCACTATGTGTTCCCAAACGCCTAAGTATGCTACTATTACCGATACTAACTAATAGGTATACGGTGTTGTCAATAGACTTCTGGAACTCCACTGGATGTCCAGAGTTTTCCAGAGTTCCAGTGGTTCCAGCGATATATTACACTGGAACGATTTTCCCGCTGGAAGACATCTGCCTGATTGGTTGATTTATGTCAATTCAACGTGACTATTGACCAATTAAATCAATCAAATAAATTTAGTATGCGAGTAAAAGGATCTATTAGCGAAACTTCTATTATATTTTAATAAATAATTAGCAATTCTATTCTATTTTTCACTATTTCGTTACTAGCGACAATACTTTATTATTGATCTATTATTAATTAATAATGCTACGACTATAACGAAATATTAACCTTCAAATCATGATCAATAGAATGGCCGACAAATCACTCATTAACAAGATCATTTAAACAACTGACCATATGCGCAGATTTGTAGAATTGGGCCTCATAACTGGACCCCAAAATTTTTAATGATCTGCAAAAAGTCACATGCC